TGACTTTACAGCTAGCTGATCGTTCATTGAAATATCCCGGATGGGATTGTAGAAGATGTGCTAGTTAAAGTAGATAAATTCATTTTGCCTGTTGATATTGTGGTACTTGAAATGCCTGAAGATGATGAAGCACCAATCATTTTAGGTCGTCCATTCTTAGCCACTGGTAAGGCGATGATTGATATGGAATTAGGATCTTTAATGCTTAGGGTAAATGGGGAAGAAGTTGTTTTTAATTTGACAGATGCATTTAAACACTCTGAGCATGTTGAGCATTGCAGTAGAATAGACGTGATCGAGGACTGTGTTTCCTCCTTTTTTGATTTGTGTGAATTATGTGATTCTGTTGAGCACTGCATTGTTAACTCTATTGATTTGCATTCTGCCTCCCCCAAAACCCCTATTGAAAATGATGTGCTTGATTGCGTGTTGTTTCTTGAGTGTGCCGAGATTTTAGGCATAGACGAGGTAGGGATCGTCCCCGAGGCATGCAAACTCAATTGAGCGAACATGTCTAAAGAGTCCTAATTGAGTCAAGGCTTATTATATCAGATCTGCTGGCCAGAGGCAATTTTGATGTTGTGCAACTGCTTGCGGTAAGTAACTCAATGGGGAAACAATAGTATTTGGACGGTTCATCATAATTGTTAAGGTCCAACTCCAAACTCTGAGCTTGTCTGGACAATGCAAATTCAAGCCACCGAGTGATTGCTGTTCTGGCTGATTTGTTTAAAGGAAAACTGAATTTTAATTTTTTTAAGGTCAGAGATTTGTGAGATTTGAACACTAGTCCGTGCTGCTTCCTTGAGCGGTAGGTTAAGACTAGAGCGTGCTGCTTCCTTGAGCGGTAGGAAAAACAGTATATCAAATGACTTATCCGATCACCATCGTCCACAAAGCTTGTCTTATTAGCCTAGCCCACTGTCAGTCAAATAAGATCATAATCGTACATTAGAACCACTTTTGGTATAATCTATGCATATTTATTGAGTTTCTTAATCTTTGTAATAATTAACCGTTTTAAGTGGTTGCATGCATATTAAGAAACTCAATAAATATGCATAGATTATACCAAAAATAACATAGTAAATACTAAAATACCCTTATCATTAATTTTTTTTAGTTAACTAATTAAGAGTGATAAGAGAAAAATTCATAAAAATGTAATTAATGCTTTATTGAAACTCTAAAATAATAAATAATTTGGGACAAAAAAAAACTTCCCAAAAAGATAAATAATATGAAACAAAGTGTTAATAATTAGTTTTATTGTTTACTTAAGTAAATTTTATAAATATTATACTTTAACTCAAACATCAATATTAATAAAATAATTTATGAAAATAAAGAAAAAAATTAAGTAATAGACGTGGATGATCAAAAATTTAAATTTTGAGGTCAAAAAAAGAAAGCAAATATAAGAGTTTGTACGTATAATTAGACCGAAGGAGGTCAATATAGTTTACTCAACATTTGGTCAGAGGTAAAAATATAATTTAAAAAAAGTAAATGAGCAAATGAGTTAAGTCTTAGCTATTATCCAAATTCAAGGGAGATATGCATTTTCAAATTAGATGCAGTCTTGTTGTAATTACACCAAATATCAAGGCCATGATATAGTAAATTTACACTTTCTTTAAGGAAATTGTTGGTAAATTTGACCAGAGTGATCACAACACACGAGTAACACGAAAAAATACTTAATTATTCAAACAATAATTATGTAGAGAACTCAAGATAATGAAAATTATCACTATCACAACAAAATAAGAGAAATTTTAATGTGAGCATTTTTCATGCGTAAATTAATATATAACAATTATATTACTTATTTTCTTTTGGTTTTATATTCTTATTGATATCAATTTTAGAATAATTTTATTTCATCATACGATTTTGATACATAATTAGTAGAACATGAAGTTTTATATGTATTTAATTTTATTTAATAATATGTTTTTTGTAAAATATTGTATGAAACTTTTATTAATTAATAATACGTTACATATTAAATAAAACCATACGTAATCACGTGAAACACACGTGGTTCTTGCTAGTATATATAAAAATGCATAAGCTTTATTTAAATCACAACTCCTTGGGTTGAAATTAAAGGTTAATTTTCTATTTGCAGCAGCCAAACAACATATAACATAAATACATCACAAGTAAATATTTTCTAATTGAGCTGCAAGACTACTCCTCTGGGCTTTTTTCATCCACGTTGGCAAGACACCTGGACTAGGGCATGGTTGGACTTAGGAGTGCAAGTTGGAACGGATTTTCCAATTTCCGCCGGTTCCGATCCGAAAAGTTCCGATTTTGGAACAACTTTTTTCATTCCGACTTCCGAAATTCCGATTTCCGAAAAAAATTCCGATTTTTTTGGATTGGAATTGGAATTATATAAAATAAATTTGGAATTTCCGATTTCCGATCCGATTTAATTCCGAAATTAATTCCGAAAAATTCCGATTTTTTTCCGAAAAGTACACCTATAAATAGTATATATTATATAATACTTATTTTCCGAAAAATACACCTATAAGTTTTGTTTTAGAATTTTGGCATAATGAATTGTTGTTAGAAGTTTTATTGGATATTATGCTGTGTTTATTTTTATTTATTTTTTTGAACTGAAATTTAGTAGTTATTAGTTTTACTTTTATCGACGTGGATGCTCTTATTTTCGAAAAATTATGAACATTTTAGAATATTTCGGCTATTTTTTGAAATTTTAAAGCTTCTGTGATTTCCGATTTTTTTTCCGAAATTCCGAAATTTCCGAGCCTTTTGGAATTGGAATGAATTTTTATATTCCGAAAATTTTGGAATTGGAATTGGAATTGAAATTGATTTTGTACTTACGAAATTGTTTGGAAATTTTCTCGCGCTAATTCCAATCCGATCCATCCGACTTTCACCCCTAATTGGACTGCATTAGAAAAAAAGAAAAAGCTCAGCCAACAGATTCCTCATGATTATTTCAATATTTCTCTACTTTTCCTGATAATACATGAAGAAAGGAAATTATTTCAATATATTTAATTTTTAAAGATTCTAATGTATTTCTCAGATGTTGGTGACTTTTCTTTGCTCTGTCATTTGCAAATGATAATTCAGCTATTAATTAAACCAAATGTTCGGGTTTTTTGCAAAAACCACCCCTGTGTAATCTCGAATTGCCGGAAAAGTCTCCGTGTTAAAACAATAAGCAAATACTCCCTATGATCAGAAGTCAGAGCCAATAAACCCCCTGTGAGCTGATCGTGTGTTACACTCGCCGATTATGCAACTGGGAGCGTATTTTTTGACTGGAAAATACCAAAATACCCTTTCAATTGTTTTATTTTTTAAATTACAGATTCACCCAATAAAAGATCCATCTTTCAATTTAGTCCTTAACATTTTCAAAAAGCCCTCTTCTCCAAATCAACCATCCGTTACCACAAGTCGTCTTTATCTTCCCATTTCCGGCGAGCCCGTGAGATTGAGAAGGAGAATCCCATCGGGGCTTCGGGTTTCAAGAATCCGGGTTGTCAGATTGTTTTCTTCTCGCCGCCGCCGCCTTATACGACCGTAAGAGGTGTTGGATTGGGTGGGGAGGAGATGGTGCCCATAACACCGACAATGGGCTGCCGATTTTTGCTTGAATTTAGCATTGGTTTTGAGGTGGATGTCGAGAGGACATCTACGAAGCCGTAGCCGCCGACGACAAAGGTATCGTCTCTAATTTCCATCTCCAGACTTCAATTCTTGGTCGGGGAGAGAGAAATGGAGGAAATTGATGTGGCTCGGAGAGGAACCGATTCAAACCGTTGCGGAGCATAGGTCAGACTCAGAGGCAACGAAGATGTTGGATTGTGGAGGAGGAACAGGATGTGTTGGTGGTTGCTGTTGGAGGCGGGTGCACGGTGGTGCTGTTGAAGAAGATGACTTATTTTTTTTTTTTTCTTTTTATTATTTTATATTTAGTATATATACATTTTGCATTATCTTTTGTTTATAAATTATTTTGTTATTTTTTATATATTTTTTATTTTAAATATTTTTTAATATTTTTTTTTTAATAATTACTAAAATAAAGGGTAATGTAGCATATTTTTATAAGGGTAATATAGTCATTTCATTATAGTCAACGATTTTTTTTCGAATAGGGGGTGGTGGGCTAAATAAAATCCATTATAGGGGGGTAAATGCTAATTGTTTTAACATAGGGGTTTTTTGGGCAATTAGACTTTTCACAGGGGGTTGTATGCAATTAACTCCCAAATGTTCTGCAATTCAACAAATCGAAAGTCTGTTTAATAAGAAAGTAATTAAATGTTGTGCATAAAAATTCTTTAGTTGACTATGATTTGTTGAGTTGGATATGGAATCATTCATGTTGTAGAAAACGAGAAAACGAGAGTTGAACTTATTAGCAAACTTGCCATTTTATATATTTTAGTTTCTTAATTAAACAAACATCATAATTAGTTGTTAATGGAATAATTAATGCCCACTTGCAAATAAAAACTCCTTCCATTTTATATTTTGGTATATTGAGTGCATCATCACAGAGTTGTACACAAACCACGGTTAATGAAACAACTCCTTCCCTAGTCAAAAAAAATAAATAAAAGGAAAATACAACCACCCCTGTTTTCAGTTATTGTTACAATTATAATGGTCAGCCAGGGACAAGAACAAGTGAACATAATCTAATTCTCAAAAAATGGGGGAAAAAAAAAAACTAGTGGAGACAAACTCTTCTTCAATATTCGATTTTGATAATATAATTCAACTTGCACATAATCAATAATACTACATTTAACACATGAGCTTCGACCAATGGTGAATCCATTATCTCGAAATCATCACCAACAATGCTAACGAAAATTCTTCTATACACTATTTTCTTCCATTTCGTATTAATCGAATGAGCACTGGCAGTTTCCAATCAAACCAGCACAAAGAAATCTCCAACAACTATCGGAAAAGGTGGCAACATAGCTAAGCCTGGCTGCCAAAGCAAATGCGGAAATTTAACTATTCCATATCCATTTGGCATTGGAATAGGCTCGGGATGTTCTATACGACCTTCATTCGATATCAAATGTGATACTTCTTTCAATCCTCCAAAGCCCTTTATTGCTTCGACACAAAATCTTGAAGTTATTGATATAACAGATTCACAAATGAGGATCAGGAACTCGGTAGCTGCTACCTGTTTCAACCAACAAGGCAAATTGACCAGGGAAGACTCCATCAAGATCTTGTTACCTCCAAATTATAGCTTTTCTGTTGCAAATAAGTTCACGGTGATGGGATGTGATGATCAAGCCTTTACAATAGGAGACGTGATTCATTTTCTTTGGTGGGTGCCAAGTCACCTGTTCTCCAAAAGAGCAACTTCGTGACGGTTATTGTACTGGCATCGGTTGTTGCCAAACCTCATTACCCAAAGACCAACAAACATTTGACTTTGCCGTAGGCAGCGTTGAGAATCACACTAAAGTGTTGTATTTTGACCCTTGTGGTTATGCCTTTATTGCAGAGGAGGATACATACACATTCCGTATCTCTGACCTCAAGGATGAGAACTTTGTAGACAAAATCAATGAGAACGTCCCAATACTCCTGGATTGGGTGATTGGGAACAGAAATTGCACTGGAGATGAAGCCGATTATTTAACATGTCAGGAGAACAGAAATTGCAGCGAAGCTCAGCAATACAATGATTATGCATGTCATCACGAGAACACTATTTGCATTGATTCCGACTCCAATTTTGGTGGATATCAATGCAGCTGCTCTGTGGGATATGAGGGCAATCCATATCTTGCCCCGGGCTGTACAGGTTAGTTCTTTTTTTGGCTTCTACACCACACAATAAAAGATATTGATCCAGTTATATATTAGTTGATTTTGATGTTATGAATAGCGGAGTATTATGATGTTTATTTCTAACTGTCAGACACAAATGAATGTGAATATAGTCCATGTGATCCAAAAGGCATATGCACTAATATTCCAGGTGGTCATAAATGTTCATGTCCTAATGGCTATATAGGTGATGGCACAAAAGATGCCCGTGGCTGCTTTAAAAAAAACAAACCGATCTCAGCGGTGAAGTTCTCATTAGGTACTTTTGAATGATAAAATTAGATGTCTATCTATTTTCCTTTGAATTATGTTGCATGAGAATAAAAATCACATATCAAACCAATGTTACTTTAGAACAGTAGAGTAGAAATAAAATATCGGGGATGGACTACGGGAATCAGCAAAACTGACTTCATATTGAACAAGGTTTCTTCTTTGAAAATTGGTTGTATTTGAAAATTTTCATAAATGGACTGCCTAATATCTAAGCACTCCTAGAATTCTGTGACATGACCACCACTTGCATTAAGTTTATATGCATAGATCATAGATGAATATTGCTAGCAACAAGGATGAACAAGGGAAATTAAATGATGTCGAATGCATTCAAAATTTCAAATTGCTTCTATATGCTTAACTTTTGATTCATATGTATGAAGTAAAAAATATGACTTTTCAGGTTTCAGTTTTGGCTGCTTGACTTTGATAATTGGCCTTACATTGATATACGTTACCATCAAGAAGAGGAAACTCATCAAACAAAAAGAGAGATTCTTCAAGCAAAATGGTGGTTTGATATTGAAGCAGCAACTTTCTTCTAACAAGGGTAGTGTTGAATTTGAATGCCTATCAAAGTCCACTCATCTGTTGAGACAGACTACATGTTACGACATTAGGTGACGTAACAGAATTGTTGTGTTGTCACAGTAATAAATCTACAAAAAGCAGAATAAAGAACACAACAATTTAATGTGGTTCGGATACAAACGTACCCTACATCCACGAGGACTTGCAAAACTAGTTCAGATTTATGTGTACATTAATAGGACTTAATAAAACACTAAAGACTCCCTCTTTATGTGATACGCCGTTCTTGCACACGACTCGAACTTGTTGATAATCAAAGCAATTCCTCCTCCGCACTCTTGGACTTCCTCCAATGTTGAACTTCCTTCAAACGGCGGATCGACCTCTCCCGAGATCTTTTAAGCACTTCTCCCGAAACGCCGATCTTCTTTATGGCCTGGTAGAAGAAACCTGTTCTGTTGCCACACCTGCCGTGCAGACAGGGCTGCAGCACGGGCTGCACCCTTCAAAGCCTTTATGCTGGGATTTTTCTTATTAAAGCTCCATCGGACTCATATGAGGTTGAGGGCCTTATATAGGCACGAAATCCACCACCCTAAACCTAACTTGGGCCCTAAGAAATCGATTAACTAGGTAATAGAATCCTAGTCGATTTCTACTTCTATTCTAGATAAGTACAAAAGATACCTAACTAGAATATAATACATGGAAATAAATCTAAGTCCTAATAACAATATTACAAAAATAGGACTCTAATTAATTCCAAAATAAACATGGAAAACAAATCTTTGCCAATCTTTAATTTCCACGTATGGCGGATTTCTTCAATCTTCACAAATAGAAATCTCGTGCCAACAATCTCCCCCTTTGGCATAGATTGGTTAGAATCCATGTTTAAGAAGGCCACCAACAACTATTCAGAAGACCGAATCATTGGCCAAGGGGATTCTGGAACAGTTTACAAAGGTATTCTGAGTGATCCCATCACGGGGCACGTTACAACGCAGCGGAATTGGGTGAATGCCGTGACAGACTTCCGTCTCAACCTTCCTTGTGAACACACGTCATCCAATAAGCAAAGCAAACAAATCAAAACCCAAAATCAGACACTAAGTATATCTAGTGACCCGCTCTGATACCAATTGTTGAATTTGAATGCCTATCAAAGTCCACTCATCTGTTGAGACAGACTACATGTTACGACATTAGGTGACGTAACAGAATTGTTGTGTTGTCACAGTAATAAATCTACAAAAAGCAGAATAAAGAACACAACAATTTAATGTGGTTCGGATACAAACGTACCCTACATCCACGAGGACTTGCAAAACTAGTTCAGATTTATGTGTACATTAATAGGACTTAATAAAACACTAAAGACTCCCTCTTTATGTGATACGCCGTTCTTGCACACGACTCGAACTTGTTGATAATCAAAGCAATTCCTCCTCCGCACTCTTGGACTTCCTCCAATGTTGAACTTCCTTCAAACGGCGGATCGACCTCTCCCGAGATCTTTTAAGCACTTCTCCCGAAACGCCGATCTTCTTTATGGCCTGGTAGAAGAAACCTGTTCTGTTGCCACACCTGCCGTGCAGACAGGGCTGCAGCACGGGCTGCACCCTTCAAAGCCTTTATGCTGGGATTTTTCTTATTAAAGCTCCATCGGACTCATATGAGGTTGAGGGCCTTATATAGGCACGAAATCCACCACCCTAAACCTAACTTGGGCCCTAAGAAATCGATTAACTAGGTAATAGAATCCTAGTCGATTTCTACTTCTATTCTAGATAAGTACAAAAGATACCTAACTAGAATATAATACATGGAAATAAATCTAAGTCCTAATAACAATATTACAAAAATAGGACTCTAATTAATTCCAAAATAAACATGGAAAACAAATCTTTGCCAATCTTTAATTTCCACGTATGGCGGATTTCTTCAATCTTCACAAATAGAAATCTCGTGCCAACAGGTAGTATGGAATCAACTAAAATATTTACTAGTGAGGAGCTTGAGAAGGCCACCAACAACTATTCAGAAGACCGAATCATTGGCCAAGGGGATTCTGGAACAGTTTACAAAGGTATTCTGAGTGATCGTCATCCTGTTGCAATAAAGAAATCCAGAACAATGGATGAGAGCGAAATAGAGATATTCATAAATGAGGTGGTTATTCTAACTCAGGTTAACCACAAAAATGTGGTCAAACTGATTGGATGTTGTTTGGAAACTGAAGTACCTTTGTTAGTGTATGAATACATCTCTAACAATACCTTATTTTACCATATACACAACAGTGGAGGAATGCCATGGTTTTCTTGGGATGATCGGTTGAGGATTGCTGCTGAGGCGGCCGATGCACTTGCATATCTTCATTCTTCAGTAGGAATGCCGATTATCCATAGAGATGTTAAGTCTCCCAATATATTGTTGGATCAGCATTACACCGCCAAAATTGCAGATTTTGGAGCTTCAAGACTTGTGCATATCAATCAAACACGAGTGACCACTCTTGTACACGGAACCTTGAGTTATCTTGATCCCGAGTATTTCCACACAAGTCAATTGACAGAAAAAAGCGATGTTTATAGCTTTGGGGTGGTCTTGGCTGAGCTACTGACAGGTAGGAAACCTGTGTCTACTGAAAAGAGCGAAGAAGAGATTAACCTAGCTAGATACTTTGAATTGTCCATGGAGGAAAATCGGTTGTTCCAAATTATCGAGCCAAGAATATTGAGGGAAGGAAGTTTGGATCAAATCAATGCAGTGGCTGAGATTGTTAAGAAATGTCTCGAATTGAACGGCAAACAAAGGCCAACAATGAAAGAAGTGACAATGGGATTGGAAAAATTGAGAAAATTTAATATGCATTCCCGAAAACAAGAAGAAATAATATGTGATGGAAACATGGATTCGAAAGGTGAGGAGCAAGTTGATTTATATCCAGTAAATCCTAATGTTACCATATGAGAGTACTGTGGGCAATACAGTTTGGGCACGTACAAGATTCTTTAAGTTCAATGATTCCTTTTATTTTCTCGTATTATTCAATCTGAAGTAAAGTGACTGGAAGATTTGATACCCTGTGTTGTTGGAAGATTTGATAGATGAACTATTCTGCATTATCATGTCCGAGTAATTGTACTTCTTTGTCTATATCTATATCTATACTATCTATAAAAGTGTGAATAATGTGGGAGGTTTCTTCCATTTTATGTAGGTACAAAAATATCCTTTATATAAGTAAAATGTGAAGGACAATTAAGTAATTTAATTTTTTTAATAATAATTAATTAGTAAACTGGAATATCCTTTACATGCTACGTTTTGTTTTTTCACCCCCTGCTCTTTCTTTTGTTACCTTCTCAATGACATTTCGAATGGACTAGATTCATATAACGTTCTTCTCAAAAAGAAAAAAGAAAATTAATTCACTTGAAACAATTGATTATTATGCAATAAAAACAATAACTACCCTTCATCAACTTATAACAAGAAATTCATGAACAACAGATACGTCACAACAGATAGCTAGGCTGCTGGAGTGAAGTCCTCGGCAAAGCAGGTTAATTATATTCTCAATCCAGTTCATTCGACACGTGGCTAAATTTATTTTATAAGTTTGATGTTTTCCAGTACGTAGGCTAATCATTTTTGGTGTGATGTAGTTTTAAACGTGTTTCCAATTATATTATTATTGTAAAAATTATTTTTCAGGGGTGAAGATCAGATGATGTGGCAAAATATGTTGTTTGAGACTTGATATCAGAAGTGAAGGTTTACACCAAAGAGAAATAGCAAACTATATATAAACCTGCTTGGGGCAGTACTTTGGGAACAAATTTAATTAATTTAGTGGTTTCCTTCTTCGGCAATTTTTTTTTCTTTGTATTATAGGTAATTATGAGCTAATAATCACATGACATATTGAGGGAGTTGTATAAAGCTTCTTGATAATATACATAATTAAGATTTCTCTCATTTTTCATTTTTTATCATTATTTATTCTTATTCCTTGATATTGTGAGAGGGTTTAATTCCTATATTTAAAATATGTAATTTCATTTTTTTATTAGTTATAATTTCCGTATTCTAGCTGTTAAGAGTTCTCCGGCTGAATTATATGATTTTAACAATCAAATTAATGTCCATCAACTTTAAAATAGGGATCAATTTGTTATTATTTGAAGCAAAAACTGCCATAATCGATTGAGGTGAGTTTTTGTCATGTACAAACTAACTCAATATTTTTATGGAACTCCAGTTTCAAGATATTGTACCCTCGTGTAGGAATTGAATATTATCCAAATTAAAAATGTATTGTATAGTTAGATTAAATTTAATATTCCGTACATTTTGTCGTAAATCAGGAATGTAAAGAGATTGACTAGGCCAATCCATCATAGGTTGCACCCATCACCCAACATATTTGGTGTTCCTTTAAAAATTCTGAGGTAGTGGAGCTAGTTGAGTCTTCTTACGAAGATCCTAAGTTGTAAGCTTGTACTAAATTATACAACTCTTTTATATATTCGTACTTCATGTTATAATGCATATATTGTCATGTGAATTTTGCCATGAGTATGTTAAAGTCGGTATTCCAGCTATTCGGCTATTAGAATCATTAATATATATTAATTATTATGCCTTTTATGCGTGCTCAAGTTATCCACGAAAAGGAGAACGATTCTTTAGTCAAAGTCGATCATGGTGTTTTCGTTGATGTTCACAAGGTTATAAATTAGACATCTTCTTGTCCTTGATCGAGTGGGCTTGCATAAATTTCGTCGAAGCAAATGATGGTGAAAATGAAGAGCAGTTGTCGATGGGTATTAATGAAGGTTGGCAAAGAAGGAAATTTGGATGATTGCATTAATTGCATTTAAGTTTTAGAAGGTTGTTGATTTACACGAGATCTTTATATTTCTATTTTTATTGTTGTTTCTTACTTGAGGGAAAACCAAAGAACTGTACACACATCAGTTGAAGAAGGAGGGAGCATTTATTTAATTGTTTCTGCTGAACATTTCAAATGATAATAGATAGAGACAGGCAAGGAAACTTGGAATATACTGTTTTGGGCAACAGGCAAGGAAGAAATTATTTCTTACATTAATCCACATACAACATATTATGATTCCTATTCTTACTACATGTAAGTTATGTCAATTATTTGCGCTACAACTCTGAGTAGAATAATTTTCTTCTTTTTTTTTTGCACTTCAATATTGTTAACATTTAGGGCATTTTGCATGAAACAACAATGTTGCTATGCTCCAAACAAGTCATGTTATCAAAGCACCAAATTGTTATTATTTCTTCCAAGTGATTTTGTTTCTTCTTCTAATAAGGTCCCGAAAATATAATGCATTTAATGTGACAAGGTTTGCATTGTAATATAGTTTGCGACAAGGACTACTATACTAATCTGGATATTTCCATTTGATTTCCAGTGTTGACATTGTCGTTTTCTATTTGATTTCCACTGTTTACATAGTCACGACACGTGCAACGCACGTGCACCTGCCTAGTACTTGAAAAAATAGCATTCAATTTGAAACAATCGAAGTTTAAACACGTACCCCGTCTACAGAGTCATGACCGACGCCGGCGACGGTGGTCGATTTAGAAATTGGAAATTGGGGATGTTCACAACGTTAACAATGGTTTTATCATGGGCTTGGACTGGAAATTGGGGATTGATTTAAAGACAGGAAATGTGCTAGGAGTTAATTTATGGGGTTTTATGCATAAGTCTCTGACCAGCCATCTTTATTAGGGGTTATATCTCTTTCGCCAATAAGCTCAACCTTTTAATATGTATTATCAATATAAGCAAAATTAATATATATGGCAAAATTACTAACAACCATCTAAACTCAATTCCTAATGTAACCTCAACTTAACTTCAATTTAATAAATTTGACCACAAAACTCAATTCACTTC